ACTCTACGCCAGCAAAGCATCGGTGTTGAACAGTGATATAACGTTCACGGTGATGATGATGGGTTTTGTTGAACACGGTCACATTCAGTCCTGCCAGATTCATAAATTCTTCTCTCTTTTCTGTTCATCTACCAGCCTCCCACTTTTGCTGAGTCTAATCCTTTCTCTCGCTCATCCAACTGTCTCGTCGTTTGCCTACTTTATTCCAAGGGTTTCAGTTGGTCCTCGCTTGTGGAATCAATGACTGTGTCAAAGCGCCTTTGTTTTTCGTTCTTATACCTACTTCCTTCCCGACCATTTGTTGCACAAACTCCAGATGCGTCCACTATGAATTTTTACTGTGATGTTTTCAGTACTGCTTCCTCCACACATCTTCGACTTGTACCAATTATTCAGCTTCCTTGATCGATAGAGGCCCTCTTTCACTGTCTGAATTTGTCGCCGCTCTTTTATTTAACCGTCGATACCACGAAAAATGCTGCACTGAAATCGGTTCTTCCCTCTGACCCCCACAATCGTTCAGTCGCTGAAAATTCCTACGCTCATTTAACCAACCTATCCAGTTTTTCTGCCCAAATGCCTAACACAACAATTTTGCCTCATTTTTAGCGGGCATTTCATCTTTGAAATTCTCTTCCACTTTGCATATTTTCTCCTCGGCTTCAAGTTTTGAACGCTCTGGTCAACATTTGCCTGTCCAAACTCCCCTGATGTTTCGCAGTGACTCTGCATTCGAACGCACTGACCTGTGTTTCCTACTGCCATGTTTCGAACCCAAGCTATGCTTCTCAACCGCTCTCGTCTAGGATTTGGCAACCTAACAACAGTACGACCATGTTGCTCCCTTCAGATAGCATGACAGATATGTACAGAAAGGCTGTTTTGGTTGCTTTACGCTTTCTTACCAATTTAATGTCCCTAATCCTTACAGAGGATATCATACAAGAGTTCCCCGCTTTCCCCTTGAACCACTCTTGCGGAAAACACCCTTTTGATGTCCTTTTAATATTTTGTTAGCCATTCTGTATAATTCCTTTTGTAGCTGAGTTTGGTGACTACAAAGAAACTGACTGCAAATCTTATGCATACCTCCGCAAGCACCATCGTCTACGTGCGGCCCCGGACTCGTATCTAATGCGGGTGATGGAGTTACATCAATCACTAATGTAAGTCTTAACCAAGTCTTTTTCGGAGCATTCCATTTCATGTACTATCTGTGGCCACTACTTTTTAGCTTCTTTTTGAGTGATCCCATACTATATCATTTCACGCACTCTCAAGTGTACTTTTCAACGCGTAAAACATTTACACGGGGCTATGGTTGCGGTTACAACGGTTTCTTGTCGAGTAGGAATGGTGGTTATGATTAGGGGGTTTCCCTTCTTAGTAGGCGGCGCTCGCTTCAGGATAAGTCAAGTGTGAAGTGTGCGATCAGAGCCGTTCGTTATCCTCCCGTGGATAATTTTGGTTTAGACTGAATGAAGCGCTTCAGATTCATGAAAACAAGACGTTGCAGTTTGGATCTGTTTTGGTTCGCTTTCTGCTCGCCTTTAGTTCTTAGGCAGTGATGATGGAGATGAAGATGACTGGTTACACCAATAGCCAGCGAGGTGATATTTGTTGGTACTTTGTCATGATTATGTAGGTCAGTGACTTTCACCATACCCCGTCCAACTCAGCGTTGAGTTAACAGCCGTGATGCTACCCGATTGATGCTAATGGCTTTTGATATCGGGATATTTCATTAACAATGTTATTGCTGTGGAATATTCTGTCCGCACTGTTCTGCGGCCATATTCACGTTATCTGGATATATATATATATATGTATATATATATATATCAGCATATAACTCATCCTTCTCAGAGGAAATTCCCACCGTGTTTGTGGCTAACCTGTGTGAAGTATGACAAATGGTATTTAGACGAGTCAGATCACTCAGGGTGGTTCGATACACTTTGGTGAGTGATGGGAGATGGAGAACACGGACAAGCATAAACGTGCTTTTCGTATCTGTACAGTTTGTCACTTGTGTCCGAACAACTGTGTTTCATCAGAATAGGAAAATCCTCTCGTGAACGTTTTCCGCGAGATTTTAGTCGACAACATTTTTGATATGGTATGGGTGGTTTTTAACTCTTGACATGTCATGATATGTCGCTGCACAGTGAACAACTGCTACAGTGAAATTAACCTCAACCTATCTCAACAGATCGTGTCTATTCCAATGCAATAGGCTGTCTTGGACATTGATTAAGTAACTTTGAATCAGCTGATCGCCAGTGGGTAATTCGGAACAGTCTACATACCAACGCTACTTAACGCTACTTAATCGGGATAGCCGAAGTTTCCCTGAATACGATGCATCAATTCTTCGGTTCTTCCAAACGCCAAGCAGAAATAACTCTATCCATGCTTAACATAATAAAGGTCAGAGGCACTAGACATGAGTTCACTAACTTTAAAGAAATCCAGAAGAGATATGTGACCTTTAAAAAGTTTGAACGCTTGATATGCAAACCTATTATATTGTGTTATGCTTGCTGTTGTTGTCAGGTGAACGTATTGCTTCTGAAAACCGTGTAGCTTGAGGTCTGATGGGAACGCTTCTCTTCAAACTTCTCTTCGCCCTCTTACAAAAGATGGCATTCAAAAATAGCTTGTTTTCGTCAATAGGGTGCCCACACCTGCGTAGGAGATACAGCCAATTAACTTACAGTCGTCATTTTCTGTAATTGTCGAGACCGCGGACTTTCCACTCGCCTCACCGCATAATATCTGACCTCAGATGTTATATCAAGATTTAAATCTTACAGCCAGGCTTTTGTTGCCTGTCAACGTGATGCACTGTTTCACTTCCTCATTTTACGTCCTTCGTACGCAGCAATATGTCATAAATTATGGTGTTGTTGGCTCGGAGGCATTGGGGTTTCTTCGTCAGCTTTCACACACTGTAACCGTTTTTGTATCCCACCGGGCCCCCACTTCAGTTGGATAATTTCACTCTCCCAAGCCTTCAAATCAGTGGTCCGAGTTTTAATCTTCCGTAGCTGCTGTGTAGACGAAATCTCTATAACTCATTCTGAAATGGACAGTTTTCTTTCCGGGGCTTCATTTCTCACAGACCGCCATGTGATACTTTATTGGCCAAGCTGAGCATGGTGATTTTTCTTCTGTAGTTACCATCGTTGTTTCTTACGTCAGCGAATGTCTACGCGTCAATTAGCTTCGCTACATGTAAATAGTCAGAAGGGTGGTATATGGTTTAGGTTGTGAGTACCAACAAAGTGCGCCTTTACTGACAAAGATCAGCTCACAACCAACTTGGGAAACGGGACCTCAAATGTTGCTCCTGTTGCGTAGTAATACAAACTGATTGCGGATTTCCTATTTCGATTCAGCTGATATCAGTTACGGAAACAAGCGGCGATTTGACCACCAAGCTCTGCTGCTCTGAGACAAAATTGATCCAGTTAAAGCATAGTTGGTGTCCACGCACTGTTCTGTCTTCACAACTCGGCAAAATACATAACTGTGGCAGCATGTTGGCAGTCGTTCCCCTACAAATCAGCGAGTCTAAGTGAATGAAGCGATTATATCCGGTGCACAAGAACTCACCACCTGGAAGCGGAGTCTGGGGATTTTTCAGCATCGTAATACTGTTTGTTGTCCGTTTTGAGGCGCAACGGATTCTCTATAATGACTATACATATTGGGATGAAATCCAAAAACGTGTCCAAGTGCGAGGCACCCCCAAAAAGGTGGAGGATTCATCCCTCTACGTGTTTCCTGCCTACAGCTACCAGCACCATTACTTGTACAACCGAGAAAACACGAATTTTCTTTCATTCAGATATTGAGTTGTACTTCGGTGCAGTTGGTAGTTCATCTCATGAAGCCGGAAGTTACAGCAACGAGGTCCGATAAGGGTTAAATTTATCGTGGAGGGAGTTGCTGTGCAAAGGGAATAGTTAGTACTACTTGCAAGTTTAATATTTTTCGCCCCACAGATGGCAAATTGCAGGACAGGCCTTACGAACATCAGAAAAGTTTCGAAGTTTTCGGTCCTTGATGCCAATGGCTTACTGTACCTTCTGCTTCTTGTTGTTCCAAATTATTAGATTAAATTATTAGTGTTTTTCATGACTCCAATTTACCAGACTATTTCGAAGCAACTTACGGTTAAAGACCCCTTCAATCAATATAGCTTGTGTGTTGCAACTCCACTCATGCGGAAGGTTTATACAACTGTCACACGAGTTCGACTATGAGTAAAACAGCTCATTGTTCCAAATTTCCACATACCACGTGATGCGCATCTTCCCGAATGCATCTCATTCAGTCGGTCTCCTAATTAGAAGGCTTTCGCATACGTTTAGCCGGCAGTTAATCCCTTTGAGCTTTAATTTACGCAAATTGTCTATGGAATTCATTGTAGGGCTTTTGCTCTTCTATGCTAATTTTAGTAAACATTGTCGATGAAAGTCCTGACTAGAATGTGCGGCCCGCATATGTTTTCTTCGACTCCAAATGGCTGAGATTAATGTTACTTGTTTCCACGGCTGTTTCCTTTTCATGCGAATTTGAATGCAGCTCTGCCGGCTTTTCTTTGTCCCTAACGGATGTCCTTACACGTGACTATTAAAACGTTTCTAAAGTTAACCATTCGATTTTCGGCCACCTTGTCGTTAAGGTGATGTTAATTGCGATCAGCAAGCAGAACGGCAGGATGGTTGCGACTCTGAATAGTACAATCTTGTCCTTCTATTGTTGAGATGGTTGAGAAGAGTTGTTTGTCCTTACCGCTTCAGAGTATAGTTTGTTTTTATTCGATTACTAAGTGAATATGTTTGGGGAACTTTATAATCGGTTACCAGACGAACTGTGCTTTCCTGCATTACACAAGATTTTCATTTACACTTAGTTTGATAACGTGTGACCAGCGTTCACCGCCACAGTGGAAAACCGTAATGTCTATTGTCTTCTGTTTGTTTCCGTAGTGGACTGACAAAATCGGAGGCTGACTATCGCCTTCTGGATGCCGCACGTAAAGTGGAACTGTACGGAGTTCTTCTGCATCCCGTAAAGGTTTGTTTTACCCAAGTTGACTGTTTCTTTCTTCGAGCTCTACCAAACCGAGTGAATTTCTTCTTGATCTTAAATGGCCTGTCTGTACCGAACAAACGGCTTGAACACTTATTGTGATGATTCACGCTTCCACAGTCCTGGTCAATAAATTGTTCGCAAACGTGACAAGATCCTTGCCTTAGTGATCGTGCTGCTGATACGTATAGGGGGGTTTTAATGGTAGGTCAATATGAAGACGACATCGGAACACAGGTTTTGTCTGTATACGGTCGATCTCCTAGATTTATCTGATGGCTGGGGAGTGTCCTTTTGTTTAATGTACTATCATTCAGACGTGGATAGCTTGGTATTGGGTGTTTGAACTAATTAATATAAATCGAGCAAATTGAGGTGTTTGACACATCGCTTTTCTTTACGTTGTAGTGCGGCGATAGTAATGCATCAGCTTGATAGTACAACCTGGATTTGTTGCTAGGTCAGTATTGATTTTTTTCGAAGGAAGGCGTTGACAGTATTCAGTTCAGCTTATTGGTCGCAGTACGATAAAAGCACCTAAGCCTTGTGCACTGTGAACGACCCATATCCCAAGTCTTCGTTTGCTACCAGGTGACTGTTTGCTACTGTTGCCTCGTGCATTGTTTCGCTAGTCTTACACTTGCACTCTTTTGCCTTGCCTCTACGTACTGCATGTCAACTGATTTGATGGCCTGACTTCATTGTAAACCTGAACTAGCTGACAAGATGTGAAATTGTAATTGTACGACGAACGTCGGGAGCCGTTACCACTTAGCCAAATGACAGGAACTAAGTTTTTCAAACTGTCCACGTGGAGATTAAGGCCGCAACGCAAATCCAAGTAAATGTCAATTGGTGGAATCACAGAGCTCAGAAATAAGAACTTCCTCTGCTTCGGCATTCTAAAGGGGTTCTTGTTTTGATAGTTTGACTGCATGTGTAAAAACATTTTCGCCATGAGTGTCTGCGTATGGCCTGTTGCTGCTACAGCGTATTCCGAGAATTACCGTACAGCATGGCAGAGCAGGTATGTCAACTGTCTTTCGTTCATTCTTTTGAGTTACTTCTTTGTGAAGTATAGTTATCCTTAATACGCTACTCATAAGGTTGCTGAAAAGTGTTTGACGGTCCATGACCGGTTTTACCCCTTTCGGGGCTCATCACTTAGCCACAGACCTCGAGTTTCCGTCAAACTCATGTTCTAATTGAACCCAAATTGCACGAAATTAGCGAAGTACACTCATTTGTATACCAATTTGGTTTTGATGGTGGGGTTCACCTGGAACCCAGCTGAATCTCTCATTGTTGATGCTTAAAAACCTCATAAACTAGAGATTCGGTTGGGTTCTAGGTGAGTCTCACGTTACGGTTATCCTCTTTCAGGAAGACTATCGTGGGGTGATAAACTGATGCAAATTCAACTTGACCATGTGGAAGTAGAACGCGGTGCCCACGGAAATGGTGCATACAAGCATGTTGGATTATGGTGTCGATGCTTCGCCGTAAGAGGTTGAGTAGGGCTAGCGCAGACACCTGTTCAACACTGTCCAAGTGAGTTACAAGAATCCAGTTATGTGAACAGCTAAATCAGTCGATGCCATTATAGTCGAATGAGATAGCATAAATACCGACTGCAGCCGATGACTGGGTGTATCCAGATGATATACTCCATATAAGTGCGCAACACTAGTGGCTGATCGGGGCTTTTCAAACGTTCCACCACCAGTAAGCGGGCGTTTATATAGCTTTTAAAAGTGCCTATCTAAAAAGTATTTATTGACAAGATTGATTCATTGAGGCTCAGCTTTTCTGTTCGTCAGTTGATCCATCCGTGATTTCTGTTACACTCGATTGGCCTATAGGATAGCTTTGTTCTGACAGACCTATTCAAACTTTGCTTTGTCTTGTTATGTTTTTTATGTTTGGTGATCCGGATACCTTCTATTTTTAGTGGTTTTTGTTCCATTTTTGGCTCGTTCTCAAATTGCATTACGTTGTGGTCCAATATTCTAGGGTTTGACTGGTTGGCTACGCTTCCTCCTTTTCTCCTGTAAAATTACTGTTTTCCTTGCACCTAACCGGTTAATCCGATGCCTCCTCAATTGTTCTCTATTTGTTGGGCTCATATTTATTCGCTGTCTTTGAGCTTTCCTCCTACTTCTAGGAGTTCTTCATCTGGTTCTGTTTGTTATATTTGGCACTGCAGTAACAAAGTTCTGTTGTTCGCAACGGTTAATCAGCACGATCAGTCTGAATGTGTTGAAGGGGTCTTCGATAGGCTACCATGCTAAGAAAAAAAAATCACACACTTTCGTTTTTCTTTGTCGAATGTCGTCCCAGTCAAACTCGTGCTCTCCCTAGTCTTTGAGCACGGCGTGTTTAACTGTTCTCATGTGGTCCCGTTGAAAATCTTCTTTCCGTTTGTCCAAAGCGGTGTTTCTTTGCAATCCTCGCGTTGCATCTTGCATTGCGTATTGTTGTCCATCATTAGATTCAATCTTTCTTTAGATTTATATGGTGCTGTCTCCATAGTGTATCCGGGAGTTTTTAGGCCACCGACGCATCACGCGGTCGTGAAAGTCTTGTGGTCAATTTACCACTCTTCTTCCCCTAAAGCTACCGCGTTGATCCTGTAGGGTTTTCTGGGCGATCGGCAAATAAAATTTCCTTGATGTACTTTCCTTTGAATGACATTGCATTGACCTTCTTCGTCCTTTATCTTAGACTTCAAAATCTGTCTGAGTGCAACCTTGTCTGTAATTATTCGGTCGGTTGTTTTGGAAGCTTCGATTTAGGTCCGAATGCGTTTGTGGCTGTCTATTTGACGATCTAGTAATGAACGTATCCAAAAATGCCCATTTTCAATATTTTCTTCCGCCATAAATTGCCTGTTCGGAGTGGCGTTCAGTAATGGGCAATTCATCCTGGTGAGGAAATGGTCGCCCACTTAGCAAATTCAAATTTCTGCCATAAATCTTGAACCTGGCTGATCCATGGGTCTGTCACAATCCAACGTTTAATAGTTTACTACCACATGATTTGATTTATTGACAATAAATCCATGTTTACAGGATGCCACGGATGAGGACTTCAATTTGGGAGTCACTTATGTCGGAATCGTTGTGTTTCGAAATTTCTCACGTGTCAATGGATTCGGATGGGTGAAGATACGCAAACTTTGTTTCAAACGACGAAAATTTCTTATCAAACTCCATACGTACGACAAGTGAGCTTCATCCTGGTGAGGAAATGGTCGCCCACTTAGCAAATTCAAATTTCTGCCATAAATCTTGAACCTGGCTGATCCATGGGTCTGTCACAATCCAACGTTTAATAGTTTACTACCACATGATTTGATTTATTGACAATAAATCCATGTTTACAGGATGCCACGGATGAGGACTTCAATTTGGGAGTCACTTATGTCGGAATCGTTGTGTTTCGAAATTTCTCACGTGTCAATGGATTCGGATGGGTGAAGATACGCAAACTTTGTTTCAAACGACGAAAATTTCTTATCAAACTCCATACGGACGAACAAGTGAGCTGGGAAAGAGGGGTAATTTATTGCTTATGATTAGTGTGGTATGGCACATAGTTCGGTAGATTAAGAATTAATTTGATAACTTTTGACAGATCAGGTGTTTCCGTTTTGCTTTCCTTTCGGTACTTTGAATGAGAGCAGTTCACCATAACTGTCCCTTTTTTCGTAAAATGTCCATAAGTTTTCCACTCGGTTCACACGATTCATTTCACAGGATGTTTCTTGGGTTGTTTTACTCTAATCATTACATTTATACTTGTGGGTGACCTTCCAAATGACCACAGGCAGATGGCTCGACCTAATCTGCTGAGAGCATAATTCGACACCTGTGTCCGTAAGGGAGAGAAATTACCTGGCCACAGACAACCCTTTTGCAAAAGTGACGACACTACAAAGCTGGGGAAAAGGTTAATTCTAAATATTTTCACAAAACGCTATAGAACTAACAATCAACAAATCGGATGATCAGTAATTTTAAACCAACTATTGACATTTTCATGGAGCTGCGTTTTAATGACATTGCTTTTTTCCTGAGGTGCTGTGATAGGAAGCGCTTTATTTTATGGCGTCGTGAAAAATAGCAGAATGTATCAAATTTCACCTCGTTTTGTTCTTCGAGTTATCTTCCCTTATCGATGGAACACTTGTAGTGGACAACATTACCAATCTAAAGAGCTCGAAAAGCGTTAAAGGAAAAATAAGATTTGACTGGCAACAAGATATCTATAGTATTCTTTTCATGTGCAGCTGTTCTAGCCACTCAAAACTAGCCGATGAAGAATCTTGATTGGATCGACAGTAGTTTTCGATATACTCATGCGCTCGAAAATTCAAGTGGTCAAAGTAAGTTTTCTTCTCCAGACGTTTTAGGTCGCTTAATTCAGTTGTGAAAGAGCACCTATCAGAAATCCTTTGTCCTTGAAACGCTAGGTCAAATGAGCTAGTCTTGATCATTTTGACCGTATAAATTTGGGAAAGTTAGTTTCGGCTTACGTTCCCCACCCTCATGTGTCTTCGACTGATGTGGTGCTTATTCAAATTAAAATGGTTCACTGCAATCATTAGCATGATCACTATGTCACCTCGGTGGAGGCCGGCGGGGGGGGGGTCTGGGCTATCTAGGTTTCCGGTTCATAATGAAACGCAGGTGACTACATAATGGGGCACTCTAGATAAAATTGTCTCACCTCTCGACCACTGAGGATGGCCTGAGGGACAGATGACTGAAACTACCAGCGAACTCGGCCAGGCTGGTCAGTGCGTCCTCATACGTTGTGATTGGTGAGACCGTAGTGTGTTGGTCGTTTTTTTTACGCGTGCGCGTCTCTGTGTTGGGTTGTGTGCCTGTTTGAAACCTAGCCTTGATATCAGACTGTTGTCACGTGTGAACAGTCATGTTTGGTTCACCCAAATCGCACAGTGCACCGGCTGCGCGGCGCGCGTTTACAATACCCGAGCACTTCGCTCAGTTGTCCACGGGGCTCGGTATTCGCGCAATAGGATTGAATTTCCGAAAACCACGAGATGTCTCTGATGGACTAAAATAGACAAGCACTTGGGTTCAGAGTAAGAGTCCAAATGTCTTAGACCCATATGGACATCTAGGGTTCTCAGAGGTGTTAGGACAGTATTCCACCAATCTTTTTCCGCTAGAGGTATGATTGCTTCAGTGGACAATAATAATGGGTAAGTTGCAAATATACGAACGTAGATTAGGGTGGTTTTTGGTTTGAGCACATGCTCAGAAAAATTCAATATTTTGGCGTCAAAAGCTTGATTCCACTAGCAAAGTTTTGCAGCTAGGACCTTTGTGTGGCCGATGGACTCTACTGTCCACCCAATCGGCAAGTTCCGCGCACCACAATACAAAGAGACGCACACATGCGTGTTCGGAGTAAGGTAATTCAGGTTGCTCTCTCTCCACGCTATTGTGGTCCTGGTTACGCGACCGTGAGGGCTCACTCACTGAATACTGATGCCCATCTAACGTTCAGGTCATAGTCCGGGATGTTTCCCTTCAACATACGGCTGATCAGGCGGCCAAAATTTGTTCACGTGTACTGCTCGCCAGTAAATGAACATATCATAATAAACATCCGTGTTAGCTCCTAAACCCCGAACCTAGGCCTTGACGAGCTTTTGTGTGCTCTTCTCGTCTCATATAAAAACTCCAACCAATGGGTTGTGTTAAGCACTTCACATCAGTAGAGTTAAGGTTTCCACACACTCTTAAACTTCGCATTACCATTCGAAAACTAACGTGATTTCCTAAATAAAGTGGCTAGTTCAAAATGAATTTTGGTGTCGAGGAATTTGTGTGGAATTTTCTCATTTTTATGAGTTGACTCTAAACAACACAGCAAGAATGCTAGCCAATCAAGCTTGTCTGAAAATTTTCCGACATTCAGCAGCGAATAAAGAAGCGTTAACTTATCATTTCCCTTCTTTTCAGTTTAAATTCGGATTTAGACCTATTCATATTCTATTAGAGCACCTATTTTTTTTTAACAAATCCCTTTTAAATTCCCGGCGGAGCCTTCCCTTTCGGAAGAGAAAATCACCGATGGACAAGAACAAGTAAAGCTTTTACACACTGAGATGAATTTCGCTAACTCATAGTGGAGACCAAAACTTTGTCGAAAGTAAACACACTTCATTCTCTTCGAAGACGCAGGCAAAACATTGAGGAAAAACGTATGGGCAATGTCGAAGGATACTACTCACAAGGTTGCTGAAAACACTTCGAAATCATAAACGAGAGATTCACTTGAGTCTCCCGTAAAAACCAAATTGATTTGCAAATGAGTGTATTTCTCGAATGTCGAAGGATATTTCTTTTTCACAAGAAGAGCGCAGTTTGACATGAGGTCTCACGTACCTCAAACAAACAACCACTGGCTATACTACTTCTTCAGAATCAGACCCGTAGCAATCTCATAGTGCCTTCCTCATCAGAAATGTTTTAATTAGCGCTCTCCCAAAGGGTGCGGCTCCCAAACAGGGATCCTAAATCCCCCGGACGCTTACATTACTTCCCAACTTTAGCAGTGGCGCGCTATCTTTATTTTCCTGGTAAAATAAATGTTAATTTGCATTCCCTGTATAATTTTTTCCTGCTCAACATAGGAGTGGATTGCGACTCATTCTACTATACAGGACCAACTCAGCTGACTGGGTCCTTCCTATCCTGATGTGCTTTCATGCAAAACGAATGCATCTTGTGGAAATAACGCTTCAATAAGGTTCAAATGAGGTTTTTTGAGCGTCTGCTTGAGTTCTCAGCTCTGCTGAGAATTTGCCGAAGCCATGTGAATTCCTGTGTTCTTCGTCAGAGACGACAAGTTGGTTTTTAATAGTGGCAATAAAGTAATCAGAAGATAGTCCTTAGGCATCGATTTCTGATTATTCACAATGAAAAATGAATACGTTCTCAGGCGTTACTTGGCTTTCCAACAGACTGACTTCACTCGTAGATTGTAAGCTCTACCAAACTTCTCTTTCTGGACGAGTTGTGAATTACAGGTCTTGCCAGACCTTTTAAGCCTTTTCTTTCATGGTTCAAGAGTCATCTGGTTCCAGTAATTCTTTCACATTATTCTCTTATGTTTTTAAGGATATCGGGAGAGACCTTGTGGAGTTCAGCTTCTTCACACAAGCCGGATGCAAAATATTTTGGAAAAAGTGCATAGAACAGCATGCGTTTTTTCGTTCCAACACACCACTTCCATTGAACATGGAGACAAGACGTAATGTGGGTCTGTTGGGTTCACTACGAGCAACGTCGTTCCCTTCCCTAAAACGGCTTCGCAGGTCCCGGAGTTGTGAAAGTGGGGCAGGGAATGGTTCCACGCACTTTTCACTACCGGCCCATCCGGGAACTGAAAGTGTCTCAAGCAGTACTCAGACGTCACAAATGAGCACACCACTTCGCGCACTACCTCGAATTCGATACAGAAGTTCTAGTCTGAAGTGAGTGTAGTTTATCAGATTCAAATCCTCATGCGAAATAATAAATTTTTAGCTTCATTATTTTATCTATGGAATTCTCAACATATGCTGAAATGTTCAGCATTACTTCTATCCTCCCTTTTGTTTGTGGAAATTTTACTATCATAACAAGTGACCCAGATCAGCACTTGAAAAACAAATAAATTTTAACACAGAAGAATCACCGAAAATATATTTGAATACATTTTGAGTGTTTAATTAAGGAGCGAAATCGATGCACTCTTATTGCGCGCGACAGTTTTCGGAACGCTGATGTTGTCTGCATTAGCAACAACAACAACAACAACAACAACAACAACAACAACAATAATAATAATAATAATAATAATAATAATAATAATAATAATAATAATAATAATAATAATAATAATAATAATAATAATAATAATAATAATAATAATAATAATAATAATAATAATAATAATAATAATAATAATAATAATAATAATAATAATAATAATAATAATAATAATAATAATAATAATAATAATAATAACAGCGCCGAACGTCTGCCAGGCAAACAATAAGACAAAACATTTCATTTCATCCAGTTGACACGCTTAAATTTCGCGATCAGAGAAGGTGGACGAAGGGAACACGAACCCTGACTTTACAAAGTTACTATGAAGACTTTCTTTTACAAAATCGCGCATTGCCGCCCCCGTTTTTTGGTA